CTCTCTCTCTCCCCCGCCTTCCCACTCCCTCCCTCTCCCCCCCCCCTCTCTCTCTCCCTCCTTCCCTCTCTCTCTCTCCCTCTCTCCCTCCTTCCCTCTATCTCTCCCTCTCTCTCTCCCTCCCCCCCCTCTATTCCCCCCATTCCTCCTAGCAAATAGCACCACCACCACCACCCCCCCCCCCAAATCCCCATTACACTTCCTAAAAGAAGTGGAGAGGAAAGAGCCCCAGTAGGAGGTGAGCTCTGTTGTGTTCTCTGGGCTCTCCCTCCTGTTGTCCATGCAGCACAAGAGATGGATCACTGATATAACACACACACACACACACACACACACTATAATTACCACCCCCTACCTCCTCCAAGGGCTGCTGATCTCAGGGCAGCAAGAAATGTGGGTAGGGGGTGGTAATCATACTGTGTGTGTGTGCAGGCAGTCCCATACGATCTATCAGTGATCGTGTCTCATGTGCTGAATGGATGACAGAAGGGAGAGCCCAGAGAACACAGCACAGCTCACCTCCTCCTAGCTCTTTCCTTTCCATCACTTCTACTCTCCCTGCTCCAGGCTGTCCCCTTGTCCTGGTTCTGAGTGTGGGCGGGGAAAATAGCAGCAGCTCAGGAACACCAGGCACCACCTTGATCTGGCCAGATCTGTCTCTTCCTCCAGCAGCAGAAAGCTGGCAGGAGGGAGAGGAGGAGAAACCAGCTTTCAGCTGCTGGAGGGAGAGATACACAGGGCATCATTCTGCAACTGCTCTCCCCCACCACACCAATCCTCCTGCTGACCGGGTCACTTACAGGAGAACTGGTGGTACCCCTCAGATGGCGGCCCTGCATGACTCAGTCCACTGCTGCTTACCAGGTCCCTTCTTCTGGGGGGCGGTGCCGCCCCCCTAAAAATTGCCGTCCTAGGCAAATGCCTTGTTTGCTTTGTGGTAAATACACCACTGCATACCACTGCATATGCATATATCTGTTCAAGGACAGAAAATTTATAGCAGCTCTCATATTTCTATCCTGACAAGTTCCTGTTAAAGCAATCTGGGCATGTGATGATAAAATCAAGATGAAGGTTCCCTGTAATAGAAGATGCTCACCTCTCTGGAGGCCCAATTCTTCTACCTACCCTATATGCCAGTGCTGCTTCCTCGTATAAGACTTTTCACAGTTCACATGCCTGCGATTCCATCCTCCAACCACTACATCATTACAGGCCTCAGAGGATGGAACCAGGGTGGGAAATGAGGAACACAGGCATCCATCACTCCCAGAAGTATTGAATGAAGAATACACTGGTGGAGGCCACAGCACTGGAATAGAGGAAAGTTAGGAGATACTGGCCACCAGAGAGGTGAGTATAAGAGCTCTTCTTTTGAAGGGAGCTTTCATGTTGATTTTATCTTTACTTGACAGGGTGGTTTCAAGAGTGAATAATTAGGGAAGCTCACTTTTTGGGCCTGTTTGTCAAATGCTGAAATTCTAGCTCTATATTAAAATACCTTCTCCTTCTTCTTGAAAACTAACTTACAAAATTAGCACATTTTCTAGGGGAGTGCTAATTTTGACAGTCTTCTTACCACACAAAGCTCACAGCAAAGGATATTCTGCGGACAGTACTGGTTCGGACCAGATCGAACACTGTATACGATGAATTCCCACAAGCCACCTCTTTCATCATATCAGCTTTCAGTGTCTATAGTTAAAAAATGTGAGAGCATAAGGGCAAATTTATAAATAAAAAAAAAGGGAAACATTTAGTTGCGCATGGTTATGATGCAGAACTGCTCTATGAGCTCTATATATCTATTGTGCAGATATGAGTTATCCATATTCAAAAAAAGGAAAACTAACTTTAGACTGTAAACATACAATATACCACTGAAGGAAATGGACTGTAGCCTTATAATAAACACAATACAACATGTTTCATGCTCCTTTCACACTAGAGTAGCACATGAACATGTGCCAAACCTTGCAATATAGCGAACATTGAAAAAACACACAAAAATTGTGTGGCACCCTCGTGTGCCATTCATTCATCATCTAAGAAATGTCAAAACATAAAAGATATACTTGAGCTCCTTTGCCACATTTGTAACAAGTAGGCCAGCCCATTGAAATGAATGGGCTGCAATGTACTCAAAGCGCTACATAGTGTGTTTGGAGGCTCATAGATGTTTCAGATTTCCCCTCATTTCTCTGGTACTGGGAAGAGGAGAAAACTATCCATCTAGTATACTGACAGAAATACCTGTGTTTCTATTGGGGAGGGTCTCTGCACTGTCTTTGGGAAGAAGAAAAAAACAAAACAAAATTGTTTTAAACTGTAACACACCTCTGTTACTTAAGGCGTTAAATCAAAACACCTTGAAATAGAAGAAAAGTTTTGCAGCAATCACCACAAGGCTAGTCATGATAAGTATACTCATGAAATATTGCCATAAAGTGTTTTATTGTTATGCTTTTATTTAAAAAATGCACTTACTGTATGTGTAAATATATGGATAGTTTCATTGTATTTGTGATAATCCCGTTCAGATAATAGTTTATCCAATTTCTAGTCATGATAAGAATACTCTCACAATATTCTTATAAATGTTTTGTTGTTATACTTTTATTTAAAAAATGCACTTATGTGTAAATATCAGGATTATTGATTGATTGTTTAATGTTGTCATATTTGTCTATGATTGATTCATTTTAGGGAAAGCAGATGTATGACATCAAATGCTACTTTCAATAAAGTAATTCAGTTTTAATTAATTTTCTTTAAGAAGATTAAATGGATTACATACTTATTTCTGATGCGTTTGTTAATCAAAAAAACTTTTTTAAACTTTAGATAGGGAATGGGTAAGGAGTAGGTTAAAACTCCAGTACAGATTTTGGTGCCATCTTTGTCCCACTTGGGACATTTCATTTTCTGTCCTGTAGATACAACAGGAAGTAGGGTAAAATCTGTTCAAGTGTACTAAATCGCCTCTTAGACACCAGTCACTGGAGCAAGTGTGCCCATTAGAAGATTTCTTCTCTACTGCTTTTCAGTTGACAACTTAATTTTTTTAATTATCCTTTACTGTCAGTCCCAAAGACAATGGGTCACCAGGATGAACTGAGAGAGTACATCTCCCTAATGGGGACACAGACAGCAATAGAATATGACAAGGGTCATAACCCCTTCATCACTGTATTCAAAACTGTAAAATAAAAGGTTTGGGTTTTAAATACAAGAATTTTCGACAACACTTCTAATTAGATGACTTATGCCATGACATGGGTTTTATACCTAACAAGGAACAAGTGAACAACTAGATAATCTCCCCTGATCTGCTGACTCCTTAGTAAAGCAAGAACAAATAGCTTTCGTGAATTACCATATCACTAGAGAAATCTGGACAAGGTGTGTTAAGACATTACCAAATAGTATTTTAAGGCTTATGTGAACCTATGGTAAGGCTATAGATATTCAGATAGAAACATGTTCTTAACAAACTGTAAATAAGCTTTAAAACAAGCTCTCACCTCTGTTGCTGCTGCTTGCTAAAAAAAAAATTAATAATGATAATAATAATAATAATAATAATAATAAAAAAGAAATTACATATATATATAAATAACTGTCCAGAGCCTAGACAGAACCAAAAGAACCCGTCAAACAAGGCTCTTCTATCCTGCCCACTCCAGTTCTGTAACCACCTCACGACCAGCCATTGTAATTAAATGGCTGGTCAGGGCATCTGTTGTTCTGAAAGGACGCTTCTAAATTCTTTTTTCTAATGTTCATGCATTCTCCAGTGTGCTCAAAATGGCTGTTATTAGACAGCACAGACTGCAGGCAAAAATTTTTAAAAGCCAATCATCCAATTTTTTTTAAATTTGGAAGGTATAGTGAATTTTCCCTAACATGACAGTAAATCTGTCTTCCAGGATGGCATTATTACATACTGTACATGGATGCACGTGAAGTCCCAGTCAGCAGCTGGTTCACTATGTTGGCTGCTGCTGTTCATAGGAATCTTCTATTGTGGAACTTAGCAGCCAGTGTCAAGCCCGCCATCTACAGAATATTGATGCACACAGGATGTGGATTGCTAGGACTATGGGAATTGTAGCCTCCCACAGACTGAACTGGCTTGATAGGTTGAAAAGAGGAAATTACAGATCACACGAGAAACTGGGTGACAGAAGAGAGATGGTCTTTCCTGTTGCTTTTCCTGGACTGAGCAGGAAAAGTGTGAAGGTTATCCAGAGAGACTAAGTGACAAAGAAGGGATACAGCCTGCTGCCTGATCAAAGAGAAAGGATGCTGAGGACACAGACCAGCTGTGTTTCATCCAACATACAGAAGAAGACCACCTGCTAACGCAGGAGTTATTGAGAGGTAGTCAAATCTGCACTACACTTTGACAAAGGAGGGACATAACAGTTGGGCCCCAACAACGTGGCCAGCAGAATAGAATATATTACAGACTGCCGAACAGTTATGGTTGTATAGCTCTCCTTAGCTCAGACTGGCCTGTGTAGGATTCTGGAGGGGTTGATTTCTACACCCACTGATTGTTATTTACAGTATGTTTAATTCTAATGTTCACCTATTTGCAGTTCAGTTATTTCCTTTTGTTTCAGGGATACTGCATATAGATCTGCAATAAATATTCCCTATCCAGCCAGGTGTATCAGAGTACGTGATGCTATTTTCAGAGTCATGGAACAGTGGACCCAATACATCCAGCAGCTCCTTCATGGTTAAGCACTACAAACACATTATTAGTAATATGTACTAACTATATCTACTTATTAGCTGTTACTTGTAGCTTCCTTTTGTTTTTTCAATTTTATTTATAGACCCTTTAATGTGTAAGTCATTGAAAGATGGGTCATTTTCAGGAGTGGAATGTTGTTTATTTTATTTTTTAGGTTGCTTTGAAAGTCATTAACATACCTCTAAAGTTATTTTCTCAGCTTCTTCTTTCCTTCCATTAAACCTGGCCACCCTCTTCATCTGACTGGCCGCCTTGGCAGGTTTGCCAGAGAGAACAAGCCAGCGGGCAGATTCAAGAAACCACCTGGAAGGAAAGCAGAAAAGTGTTTTTCTGAATGCTCCAATATATAGTTACAGGAATGTAGTTTAAAACCGCTTCTAATGTCTGCAACACTGCCCGGCACATGACAGATCTTGGTGGGCTGATTATGGCTTCTATCAACCTTCAAACTGGAAACTGTGTAAAAAATTCCAGAGGCTTCAGTACTTTCACTGATCTGGGGACGAGTATTCACAGCAGGAGTTCTGACTTCACACAGAATTTTCCACCTGCTTGTTTCAGGTCAGTACCCAAAAAAAGCCAGAACCTGCTACATAACTTGTGTACTTATCTAAAGGTCATCAATAGTAAAAGTGAAGATGATTCTTTGAAGGACCAGGTATGAACATACAGTATTTGGGCCATATATTGCAGTTGTGTATTCATTTAAATATATTTAGTATCTTTCTTTGATTCTGTTGACAAGAAAGTGAGTCAGTAGCGTACCAAGCTTGCATAATATGGCAGAGAGTGATTTGTCTATACTATGATCTGTAGATATGAAAGCCCCACTCAGGTCAAAACTAGCTTTCTACTACCCCTCTCTGCCACCCTCTTCTAACCCATCTTTCCAGGCTTTTTTTTCCATACCTGGTGAAGCCAGCTATACTTACCTAAGTCCCCTGTTCAGGTCCCTCGACACAGATTCCAGGTGCAGGGGAACCTCTAATCCAGTGCTGTGATGGCACCCAAGGTCGCCGCTCACCTCAGCTAGTAAGTGTTCGTGTCATGTAGACAGTTGTGTGAACATGTGATGAAAGACCCAACCAGGAAGTAAACAGAGAGAATAAGGCCTGGGGCTTAATTGTCACATGACCGTCGCTTAGTGTAAGTAAAAGTGGCATTTAGATCTGTTTTTTTTCTTCAACACAGCAATCAGATAGGATTGGATAGGGGGATATCTCTTTCTCTGAGAAGGACTTTAAGTTTGCCATACAAGCAGTGATTTGTGTTTGATTTGCCTGAGAGCTATTGCAAACAAGCAATTCATCATCAATTAAAATATCAAACAATATGATATTGTTACGCATTTCGTGATTAACTGAAAATATCAATAAAAAATATGATCTATCAGTTATAAATGTAAATGATCAAATAAAACTATTCACTTAATCCAGGGGTAGGCAACCTTAAAGAGGTGGAGATCTACCTGAACAACATGGGAGAAATCAAAGATCACCGGGCACAGTGTTGCCTCCTCATGCCTGATTTAAACCTCTAACCATGTTGCAGTCGTGTGCATTGCACGGCAATCATGTGTTTAAATCAGGTGGTGAGGAGGCAACATATTACCTCCTCACCACCTGTCAAACACACTTGGAACGCTTCTCAGAGGAGCAGTGGTGCCTGCTGCACTTGTGAATGAGCCCTTAGTTGCATTCGGCAGCGGCACCCTTAGGGCTCTTTCACACATACATTTGGGCACAAGGGGGTTAAAACCATGTGGTTGAGTCACAGTTTTACCACCCCCAATCCCTACCCCCTTTAGCTGGTGTATACATGCCATAACAGGAATTAAACCCCATGTTGCTTTTGTTGGGTGCTACCGCCTGCCAATCATTACCCATTCAAGTAAATGGGGCAACTCTGCAAGTGCCCCACAAGCGTATGCTTCAGCGGGGTCCAAAGGCTTAAAGCAGGTGGTGAGAAAGCAACACAACATTGCCTGCTTTACCTCCTTGTTTGCTGCACTGCACAAGGTTTCAGGGCACTTGCAAAGCGGCCTCATTCACTTGAACGGGTCATGCTTGGCAGGTACTGCACCCACTTACCATGACAGGGGCGTATAACTCTGTTGCGGCATGTTATGTGTACACCTATGACCACTGCAGCTAAAGTGGGTGTGGCTGGGGCGGGGTGGTAAAAACACATTAACCTTGGGGTTTACCACCCCTAAGCCGCAAATGTAAGTGAACCCTTACTGTTCTGACCCCCCTATAAGGCTGCTTGCACACTGATGTACCTGCACTGCAGGTGCAGCACAGTGCATCTGTGACTTTTCTGGGTTAGCTGTACTTTGCCATAGACTTCTATTATATCCTGCAGGTATGCTGCACTTTCCTGCATACAGGAGTTTTGGTGCGCATTCAGAAAGTGCATCAAACCCACAGGATATAATAGACGTCTATGGCTAAGCACATCAAACCCGCAGGAAAGCTGCAGGTACACTGCCCTGCACCCGCGGTGTGGGTAAACTGCAATGCATCAGTGTGAGAGCAGCCCCATACTATTATGCCCAGTGAGTGTATTGCTTCACACTGACCGGAAGTTCTGTTCCTCCTGCTGCTGGCACCACTCTGGAGACTGCTAACTACCACTAGAGGTGGAGTGCAGTTGGTATCACTCTGCATGGGACAGGAGCCGGCACTACAGAAGGGGCATCAGCTTATGAAGCTCTTGCTCCCTATTACAGCTCCAACTTTACAAGTAGTTCCTCTGTTTGAAGTTCTGGAATGGGTCAGCAAACCCAGACCGCGATCTACCAGTTATCTACCAGTAGATCACAATCTGCTGACCACCGATTTACCTGATCTGAAGTAATCAAAAAAATTCCACTACATCGCATCAACATAGCAGGCTCAAAATTGATTGAGAGCTCACTAAATTGATTGACTAGAGGGTCTTTGGCGTACGTTTTATTTTTATTGAATGATCGATTGTATGATCATCTTGATAGATGTGTGGCCACTATGACAGCTACTCATGCCACAGTACCCTCTGATAGCCTGTGGAAATTTGGCACTCTTGGTATTATTAGAATACAATCTTTGTTATTACGGTATACAATCTAGTGTTTTATTGGCTTTCTTTCCCTAAAGTGATGCAAAGGAAAGAATGAGCGGTATTTTGTGGAGATGAATATCTTGGCATATAGTTCTAAGACACCTTAAATATAATTTAAATGTGTTATCTTGCTGTTTATGCTTGCACAGCCAATCTGAAATTATATCTAAATTGTATTCTGACATTTTTGTCATTGAAAACATGAAACGGCTATTTATACTTGTCTAAACATTATCAGCATAACTTTGCACAAATATGGTATTGAAAGCGATAACATTTCCAATCACCTAATGTTTTATTGTACAGGACAGCAGCAGTCTACCTTTTTATCAACAAAAATATATTTTTGTTCAAAAAAGGCTTTATGTTACATGAGACGCCAAATTGATTTTGGTAGGTTAGCTACCAGTATAGTGACTGACTTTAAAGTGTTACTAAACCCAGGACCCTGCATTCACTCTATTTGATCTCCCACAGTGCACAGAACACAGAAATGCAATTATTTTAGTAAATATAAACTGCTAAATACCTTTTCTCATCAGCAGTATATAGGAGTCTTGTGACTTCTATCAGTGTCCAGCCAAGCACATGTTAAAGCTTGTAGGACATGTTTCCTTTCTGCTCTAGGAGGATGCAGAACCCCTGACCTCTGTCTGGACAGCGCTGATTGGCCCTTTACTGATCACTGCACTCTCTAGCAGTATACACAGGGGCATCTTTAATATTGATTGGAGCCTGGGCAGCTGGTTTCTTGGACCCCCCCCCCCCACACACACACACACACACACACATTACAATTTCACTCTCCACCTTCTCTGAGACATACAATAAATAGCAGCCAGACTCAAAATCAGCAGATCAGGCAGAGATTGTGATTGGTTGCCAGAGGTTACAGAAAATCAATACCACTCTCTGATTGGTTGCCAAGGGTTACAGCACATTTCTGCTTTCTGATGTTTGCTAGAGGTTACTGCACAATATTATTGCTTTCCATTTGGTTGGCTAGAGGTTACTACACATCTTTACCACTCACTGATTGGTTACTATTGGTTACTGTTCATCATCACTTACTTATTGGTTGCTAGAGGTTAACGTGGCAATTTTAATATGGAGAGGCCCTGGACTGCACGTGGCAGACTCTCTATGGAGAGGCCCCTGGACTGCACGTGGCAGACTCTCTATGGAGAGGCCCCTGGACTGGACATTGCAGGCTCTCTATGAAGGGGCTCCTGGGCTGAAGGTTGCAATCTTTCTATGGAGGGGCTCCTGGACTGCAGGCAGCAGTCTCCCTATAGAGGGGTCCCTGGACTGGAGGTGGCAGTCTCTCTGATGGAGGGGCCCCTGGACTGAAGGTAGCAGTCTCTCTATTCAGGGGCCCCTGGACTGGCATTTGCAATCTCCCCTGGACTGGAGGTGACAATCTCTTTGTGAAGGGGCATGTAGAATGGAGGAGGCAATCTCTCTATGTAGGGGCCTCTAGACTAGAGGTAGCAATCTCTCTATGGAAGCTCTCCACTCCTAGAGACTGCTATCTCCAGTCCAAAGGCCCCTCAGTAGGGAGACTGCTACCTCCACTTCAGGGGCTGGGGGCCCTTCCATAGAGGGACTGCTACCTTCAGTCCAGGGGCCCCTCCTATTATAGGGTGACATTAGAATGCAAGCCACTGGGATAGTAAATCAGCACAGAGTGCAGTGACATTAGTGCAGGAACACGCCCCCCCCCCCCGCATTGTGGGGGTTAAGGTCCCCCCCCATGTGTGCCCTGTATGTGATCTCACCTGAGCTATGTTGAGCGTGGTCCTGCTCACCCTACCCCTCCTCCTCCACAGTAGTCAGGTGCCAGTCAGACCTGTCAGTGCGGCACAGGGCGCCATGGACGCTTTCCATGTGGTGAAAGGGCCGGACCTGTCACAGTGTGGCCAGGGGAGGGGTTGGGGTGCAAGGAAGTGGACAGCCCCAGACTCCCATCACATGCCAACACAGCAGCGGTAGTGCCCCCTGAAAGAGAAGCTGTGCGAGAGGCAAAGGACAGATCACTCCACGTGACAGGGCTGCAGCCAGGACTAGGAGAGTAGTATCGGCAAATGAGGCCGAGTGCTCCTTCTGCAGGTGGCGCCTGCCCAGAACTGCCAATGTCTTTGATGGAAGTGGTTGCCAATACTAAATATACCGTTGGCAACGCTGGGCAGCATGGGCTCAAGTGGCAGCTGCTTTGGGCCCCACAACAGTAATTGGGCCCAGGGCAGCTGCCCCTTTTGCCCCGCCTTAAAGAAGGACCTGAATACACACCAAACTGAGCATGTGCAGAGTGACTCCACACTATGTGTCTTAGCAGGAGATAAGAGGGGGACACAACAAATCAGCTGAAACTTGCTTTGTGAGTGGCTCTGTTGTCCTTCTCACATCTAATCCCCTGAATTAAAAATTCAAAGAAGCCAGGCCAAAATTTTTCAGCCCCTGTTGGCCCTTTGCTGCCCAAATTTTTGTCAACCCCTGTTGGCCCCTTGCTGCCCAACGTCCTTTGATTAAAAGATTGAACTAGGTGGCAAATTGTTGGCTTAACAGTCAAATTCATTCAGAACCTAATTAGATGCATACCCTTTTCAGTTTTTCTGGTAGCCTCCAGCAGATAAAACTGTAACATAAATGGATTTGACCTACCAGGAGTAGAAGAAGTACACGAAAAAAACGGTAGAGAAACAGAAAGCTGCAGCCATCGCCAGTCTCTGATGCCATATGCTAAACCTGCCAGAAGGAGTTGTCCAACAGTATAGGAATATCCTGCCAGGGTGCCAGTGATTGTGCGGACTTTGGTTGGAACCCATTCCACAACTGCAATGATAAAGCACCATGTAAACAATACCAACAACTGGAAGATCATAGTCTGCTCAGTTTATCTCTTATTTCACAGAAAATATACAGCTCCACTGTTTTAATTTATTAAAATTATGTCTAAACAAATGCTATGCACAAAAATGTAATATATTACAGCTTATCAGTTCAGTAACACAGTTCCTGTCCTAGATTGACAACGCTCACTAAACAAAATCTATGAAAAAAAGCAAAGTTGTCACGCTAGGCTGTTCTCCTGATTTGTATTAAAAACATCTTCTTGCCTCCATTACATAAGAAGATGGTATTGCGTGGTTCACAGAAGATAGCTGTGACGGTGTTTCAGATGACAGTTCAGTACACTAGAATTTACAAGACTGAGATTCTAACATCAATAGCTATTGTTTGGTAAATGTAGAAATGTACTCAGCATAAAACTAATGCAACCACCATCTATGGACTGGTTATCTGCAATATATACATTTTTTTACCATACTGTAAAAAAATATGTCAGTATATTTCTTGAGATCTGGTACACAAGGTGGTGTACCTCCATCCCATATTACAAACAAGACAAAATATTCAAATGCCAGTGGGAATATTTTGAGGTACAACACAACAAAATACTGTATATAAAAGAACTTTATTTTTAATATCCAAAAGATTAAACAAAATTCTCATAACAAGCATAAAAAATATTTAAAAATGGGGAAAGCTGATTTAACTATTAATCTACTTGGCATATCTGATTCACGGTTACAATTCCTTGCCTATTACAAGCAGTTACTTAGAATTTCTCATATTTCCAGGGAGCAAAATAGAGTACATCACAAATCTCAAAATGTTTCATGAATATTCATTCACTTCAACAGGACAAGATGTCTATAAAGTAGAAATTATTTAGCGCTTTTATTAAGACATACACTATATTGTCAAAAGTATTGGGACTCCTGCCTTTACACGCACATGAACTTTAATGGCATCCCAGACTTGGTCCATAGGCTTCAGTATTGAGTTGGCCCACCCTTTGCAGCTATAACGGCTTCAACTCTTCTGGGAAGGCTGTCCACAAGGTTTAGGAGTGTGTCTATGGGAATGTTTGACCATTCTTCCAGAAGCACATTTGTGAGGTCAGGCACTGATGTCAGACGAGAAGGCCTGGCTCGCGTTCTCCGCTCTAATTTATCCCAAAGTTGTTCTTTTAGGTTGAGGTCAAGACTCTGTGCAGGCCAGTCAAGTTCCTCCACGCCAAACTTGCTCATCCATGTCTTTATGGACCTTGCTTTGTGCACTGCTGTGCAGTCATGTTGGAAAAGGAAGGGGCCATCCCCAAACTGTTCCCACAAAGTTGGGAGCATGAAATCGTCCAAAATGTCTTGGTATGCTGACACCATAAGGGTTCCCTTCACTGGAACTAAGGGCCAAGCCAGCCCCTGAAAAACAACAGGTGGCAACCTATCACGGTACCACGCTTGAATTCACTGAGCTCCTGAGAGAGACCCATTCTTTCACAAATGTTTGTAGAAGCAGTCTGCATGCCTAGATGCTTGATTTTATGCACCTGCACCCATGGAGGTGATTGGAACACCTGAATCCAATGATTTGGAGTGCTGTCCCAATACGTTTGGCAATATAGTGTAGTTACATCTCTTTTGATTTTCTTTTCACACTTGGTTCCCCAGTTTTCTATTTAGACATGCTGCCTTTCTAAGGATTCGCTATCTGGGTCACTTTTTGGCACTTTTAGTAATGACAATAGTAAAAATATGTAAGCTATATTTTTATTTACTTCTAAGGCTCCATACACACTTTAAGCTAAGAAAAGATGGAAAAAATGCTGGATAAAAACACTGGTAATAGTGTTTCTTAGTCGCATTTTAGTAGGGCTTAGGAGCGTTTAGAAGCATTATCGTTTTTATAGTACATGTAGAGGGAAACAAAAGCTGTTAGGAGCATTCGGGAGTGTAGGAGCATTTGGAGGCGTTAGCCTTTTTTTCCGCAGGAAAAACGCTCCAAAAAAACTGTACAAAAACAATTTTTTTCTCCTCCTAGACGCTGAAGCTTAAAAAAAGCTAATAGCCTAAGGCAGTGTGCATGGACACATAGGATAACACTATTTAGCTTCTAGGAGCAGAAAAAAAAGGCTGATAACAGCTTCTAGGAGCTTAAAAAAAAAGCTAGTGTGCATGGAGCCTAAACATTTTTTCCACCTACTTATTATCTATAGGTCTACCTATGTGTATATTTATTTCTTTAGGTTTTAACACACTTTTGGGTCCATCATGGGCTACTCTGGCTACTGATTTCTATGTGTGCTATCTTTTCCCTCTCTTTGTGTGTTTGGTGCGCTTCCAGGGTCCCTTTCCCACAACTCCAAGGGTTGACACCCTTGACAGCTATCATCCTGAAGTGCTGCCATTTTTATCCATTTTTTAAGCTGATTTATAAGTGTTTTCCTTTATAACCCACTATTATTATTTCAGATACTTATATAGCGCTGTCAGTTTATGCAGTGCTTTACGTATATATATTGTACATTCACATTAGTCCCTAACCCTTAAGGAGTGTACAATCTAAGGTCCCTAACTCACATTCATACATACACATACTAGAGCCAGTTTAGGCAAGAGCCAATTAACCTATCATCATGTCTTCGGAGTGTGGGAGGAAACTGGAGCACCATGAAGGCACAGGGAGAACATGCACACTCCAGGCAGGTGGTGCTGTGGTTGGGATTCGAACCAACGACCCTAGTACTGCCAGGCGGAAGTGCTAACCATTTAGCCACTGTGCTGCCCGTATATTATGCCCTGATAACACACTAACAATTGGAGGATAAATATATGCCATTGTATCATCATTATCTCATAACTTAATTTTGTTTTTCTACTTTACATCTTGTCATTAGCATCCACTCCTGATGAAGTGAATGAAAACTCATGAAAGAGTTGAGATTTGTCATACTCTCTACCAGGGGCGGACTGACAACTCATGGGGCCCCCGGGCAATAGGGGATCATGGGGCCCCTGTGTCCTTGCCCAAACTCAACAAAGCCTATGAAAAAGGTACCCGAGGCATCTCATGGGGCCTCCTACTGACCCCGGGCCCTCGGGCAGTGCCCGAGTTTCCAAATGGTCAGTCCGCCCCTGCTCTCTACTCAACTTGTGGAAGTATGTGGAATTCTAATAATAGTGTAATAGGCATGGAATTGTAACTGTGAATCAATTATGCCAAGCAGACTGATAACAGCTAAGTCAGCTTTTCTCATTTTTAAAGCAGAACTCTGGGCAAAAACTTTTATACGTGTCCTAGTTGCTGATTTCCTACCTTTACTGAATATGTCCTCCTTCTTCTGGTTCACTCTGTAGTTGCTCTGAAACAGTCTGGTGATTTTCAAATAAAACCATTACTTCCCAGGGGTTCCTGTATGTAAGACAGGCAGCAGCAATGTCTCCTATTCCCCCAACCCTGGTCTTGGCACATCCCTTCTGTAGTTCTTTCTAGCCAGCAGTGAAGTACTTCCGTCCCTGGTGGCTGACTGTAGTGGGTGGACCAGGACCCTCAGACTCCCAATCTGTACCGCCCATGGAGGTTGTGTCCTAACAATTACAGCTCAGGACACTCTAGGTCTGTCAGCCCCCCCTCCCCTCTCCCCCATCCTCATAGCCAGGAGTCTCTTCCCCTCTTCCCCAGTACTTTGAGGTCAACAGCCCATGTTCTAGCAACTGATGTCTCATCTCATGTCCCCGACAGAATAGAAGCAGATGGGCTTCAGAACCATTGGCATTATGACAGCTGAGTGGGGACACAGACTCTGTCATCACTATTAACAGCACAGATCCTCTGGGGATACACAAGCAACACAGGATTTGACAGCCTTGCTGTAGGAGGAGAGGGGAGCCAAGCAGCTATACACACACTGCTGCAGAGGGAGCCGAGGGAGTGGCTCACAATTAACTCCTCAATTGCCTGATATTTTTACCATTTAACCTTTTTAATTTGCCGCGCTTGATGGTAAGTGTAGTTTCTATTCACTGCAGAGAGAGAGGAGATGATATGACTTGATCCCTACTATTCCACCTCCTCTTCAGCAGTGCAGATGCTATTATTTTTTTAATTAAAGAAACGACATCCTGAAAATTAAATTAGACTTCTCTCCTCAGTGGTAAGGATTTTAACATTTTTATTAACTGTTCAGTATTTTGTATAGGGGGGTATACCAACGGATGATTTTTTTGCCCATCCCAGAGTTCTTCTTTAAATATGTTTTATGCTTATTATTAGAATTGTTTATCTTTTGGATATTAAAAATAAAGTTCTTGTATATATTTTGTTGTTGTGATGTACCTTGAAAAAGTCCCATGGGCAACTGATTAGTTTGTCTTGACCATAAAAAAGATATGACTTGGACAAAAGAACCCAACAGAAAATAAGTTTCATTAGTCTTCCCATTTTAAGATTCTCACATCTGTTCTGTGACTGGCCATGGGTGTAACATTGCTCAGTACTAAAGTTTGATATATTAAAATTAAAGAACAGAAAATTACACAAAATTGGTGTTGTTACCAACAAACCATCATTTTTTTTCCTTAATGAAAAAATAAACAAGAATTTTGACTGGTTGTTATAGGCACCAATGCTAGTTTTGGCCTTATTAGCTTTTCGTCATTTTTAATGAATCCATCTTCCTAGCATGCTAGTTTTATGCAACCCCTGTGTTACCTTTGCCATTTACATTTTTCGGGGACCCAAAATAAAGCAGTTCCCAGAAAATTACATATATTATAATAAGAAAAATTAAACAATTTTAAAAGCTAGTTTGTTTTTTCGGCACCACGGTTGTGTACCACCTTGTCTACATGTCTTGAAGGTTCTGCAGTTGCCCCTAAGTGGTACAACAATTAGTGGCTTCTACATATTATTCCATTAGGAAGACTCTTCTGTGAATAGGGGTATGGAAAAACTTCTCAGCATACAGTAATCATATATGGATGCTCTCAATGTGCACTGAAGACCTAGTAAGTGGGTCATCTCCACATGCTCACTATGTGTTTACTTGCATCAGGGTTCCAGAGAAAAAATGTATGCTTTTTTTCATCTTTTCAAAGAAGAAAGCTAAGCCTACCTTGGTATACGAAGCCATAAGAATAGCTACACGTGTGTGTAATATTTTTAGGGATATTGTTACCAAGTTAGTTTATGGCCTACAATATGACTTGATGCAGCAAACTGTGTAAGCTGTTCCAAAAATGAACTAACCCAACAACTGAAAATAAATGTAGGTATTGGCTATTGGAGATGGTAGATAGCATCTGCTGTGATGTTTCTTTAGCTAACTCATTGTGCTTTGGGAATCCATTTCAATAGAAAAAAGGTTTATCTGTGATAAAACAAAGATTTGATATAGCCTATAAAATATAGCACCTGATTGCAGTCTCTTCTTTTCAGGCCTAAAGGTTTATGCTACCAGTAATTAATTTAGTGGCAAAGAGCATGCTCCACCTTAATACAGAATTTGTTTCCTCTCCAACATGTACACCACCTCCAGACATATTCCTTACTGTGCAATACCCACACTCCCATCACACTCATTGTATATTGAACAATGTTAGTGAGTTCAAATGGATACTGCAAAAAAGACCATCAGTGGTCTGATCAACAGAGGCGCCCATTGTCATATGACTAAGAATAGTTCAGCATCATCTGGTTTAATGAGCGTTGAATTTCTTTATTTAACCACAAAAAAAAAGTATTTTGTGGCTTTAAATGGCCACTTCCTCAGTTAAAGGCGATAAGGCTGATTTCTATGGGTACAGAATCCACAAAGTGCATTGTGTATTCAAACTAGTGAAAAACATGATTCAGTAGGGTGAAATGGGCAGCACAGTGGCTAAATAATTAGCGACCCTGCCTGGCAGCACTAGGGTTGTTGTTTCAAATCCCAACCACAACACCATCTGCCTGGAGTTTGCATGTTCACCCTGTGTCTGCGTGGGTTTCCTCCCACACTCCAAAGACATGCTGGTAAGTTAATTGGATCTTGTCTAAACTGGCCCTAGTATATACAGTTGCAAGAAAAAGTATGTGAACCCCTTGGGATTACGTGGAGTTTTGCATGAATTGGGCATAAAAATGTGCTGTGAACATCATCTAAGTCACAACAATAGAAGAACACAGTCTGCTGAACATAATACTACACAAACATTAGATGTTGCCATGGTTTAATTGCACATAACATGTAAACATTCACAGTGCAGGGATGTGAGGCCCTAGCTTAATGACTTCTCCCAGAGCTAATTGGAGCCAGGAGTGAGCCAACCTTGACTCCAATCAGTGTGATGATATTGGATGTGTTGCTGACAGCTGTCCTGCCCTTAAAAAACACACACCTGTTTTGGGTTTACTGGTTTCAAGAAGCACTGTCTGATGTGAACCATGCCTCGCAGAAAAGTGCTCTCAGAAGACCTACGATCAAGAATTGTTGACTTGCATGAAGCTGGAAAGGGTTACAAAAGTATCTCCAAAAGCCTTGATGTTCATGTGTCCACGGTAAGACAGACTGTCTACAAATGGAGAAAGTTTAGCACTGTTGCTACTCTCCCTAGGCGTGGTCATCCTGTAAAAATGACTGCAAGAGCACAGCGCAGAATGCTGCATGAGGTAAAGAAGAATCCCAGAGTGTCAGCTAAAGACCTACAGAAATCTCTGGCACATGCTAACATTTTTGTTGACACATCTACAATAAGGAAAACATTAAACAAGAATGGAGTACATGGGAGGACACCATGGAGGAAGCCATTGCTGGCCAAAAAGAAGATTGCAGCACGTTTGAAGTTTGCAAAAGAGCACCTGGATGTTCCACAGCACTACTGGCAGAATATACTGTGGACAGATGAAACCAAGATTGAGTTGTTTGGGAAGAACACACAACACTATGTGTGGAGAAAAAAAGGCACAGCACACCAACATCAAAACCTCATCCCCACTGTGAAACATGGCGGAGGGAGCATCATGGTTTGGGGCTGCTTTGCTGCCTCAGGGCCTGGACGGATTGTTGTCATTGATGGGAAAATGAATTCCAGAGTTTATCAAGACATTTTGCAGGAAAACGTACGACCGTCTGTCTGCCAACTGAAGCTCCGCAGAGGATGGGTGATGCAACAGGACAATGACCCAAAGCATACCAGTAATTCAACAAAACAATGGCTGCAACAGCACAGAATACGCCTTCTGGAGTGGCCCAGTCAGAGTCCTGACCTCACCCCATTGAAATGCTGTGGCATGACCTTAAGAGAGCGATTCACACCAGACATCCCAAGAATATTGCTACACTGAAACAGTTTTGTGAAGAGGAGTGGTCCAAAATGACTCCAGATCGTTGTGCAGGTCTGATCTGCAACTACAGGAAACGTTTGGTTGAGGTTATTGCTGCCAAAGGAGGGTCAACCAGTTATTAAGTCCAAAGGTTCACATACTTTTTCCTCCCTGCACTGTGAATGTTTACATGTTATGTGCTATTAAACCATGGCAACATCTAATGTTTGTGTAGTATTATGTTCAGCAGACTGTGTTCTTCTATTGTTGTGACTTAGATGACGTTCAGAGCACATTTTATGCCCAATTCATGCAAAACTCCACGTAATCCCAAGGGGTTCACATACTTTTTCTTGCAACTGTATATATGTATGAATGTGAGTTAGGGACCTTAGATTGTACACACCTTGAGGGTTAGGAACTGATGTGAATGTATAATACACTTATGTAAAGCGCTGTGTAAACTGATGGCGCTATATAAGTACTTGTAATAAATAAAATTCAACCAAAAATGGTAGGTCAAAATAAATAAGATTTAATGTCTGTGCCGCCCAGCCCTTTCAGGGATTTCTGATCCCAGGAGGTGGGGCAGGGTTCATGATCATGGGATTGGCAGTCACATGATTGGAAAGCTTCCAATCACATGTAATGTTTGGGAGCTTTCCATTAAGCGCCAGTAACTGTGCCGCGGGCGCGTGATCTCAGCATAGGTTTGTTTACATTTTAGTTCACATATAAGAACTACCCTGATCAAAAACATAGTAGAGGGAGGTGAAATCCTGACTCAATATAAAGATGATATCAATTAAAATATACCATAAATATAGGGTTGGTGTAAAAGTATTAAAGTCATAAAAGACAGTAAACTGTCTGCAGGGTCAGTATCATAGATATAGAAAATACAATTCTGTTTATTATTATTATATTACATATACGCCAATGTTAAAATAACATATACCTAAAATAAATGAATAAAAGAAGTAAATAGATCTGTTTTGACACAGCACTAAGCATTAGATCGATATAGATCTATATTTTGTCTACAATTTTTTAAGGTATAATTTACTTTTATTAGAATAGTTTTTTTCTATACTGTAATATTGATCCTTTTCTTTTTTCCTATTGTCAAAACAGTTTTTTAGGTCAATCTTTTTGAATAATTGGACCAAATAACTACACTAAAAAAAGGCTCTCTGAATGGTAACAGAACTGCTGAACAACTCACTTTGAAAATTGCACTGAAACCTGACATGAAAATTGCATATATGTGAATCCAGGCTCAAAAAGATCCTAAACCAATCCCACCCTTCAAATTTACCGCAAACCATTGCAGTTCAGTCACATACCTCTTGGTTGTTATCTGAGAATATATACAATATATAGCATACAGAATCTTGTAGATCTTGTAGATAGGTGACTTGAGAATGCATAAAATGTAAAACAATAACTGTTTTAAAATGTAAATATGTTTTTTAGAGACACGTCTTACTGGAAGTGCTATAAGTATACAAGAAAGCAGCTAGTAGTCAAAAAGTAACCAGGTCTACTACACGCAATACAAAATATTCATTAACAGGAAGCTTGTACAACATTTCCTAAATTTCTGTTGACTTCATGTTTACAACCTTTGTACTTGTTAAAAGATTACTTAAAATCTCAGCTGTCAAGATTTCTTTCTTGGCTAACATCAAAGTTGAATAATACAAGAGGCCAAGAACAATTTTCTTCCACTCCACCTATCTCTAGGAAATCTATAGATTTAAATTTTTTAAAATGTATTAAAAGATCCAATTTCCTACATGAAACTGCCCTTTTGTCTGTCAAAAGGGTCCTCTAAACCTACAGAGGCAACATCATGATGTTATGGGGCAAGGTTTGGCAAAAGACTGGTTGTCTCTACCTGGAGCAGCTAGAGATCATTGGTCTCCAGTACTGGAAGGGGTATCATAGGTGGGCACATCACGAGTGGGAAACGTAGGCATTTTTTTGTCATGCTTAGAGTTTAACTGTAGGTACAGACTAAACATGGCTTAGCATAAATTTGACATTAAAGGATTATGATCCAAAAGATAGAGGTGCAGATTCCAATATACATCTCAAGCTTTAATTTGCAGTTTTGACTGTACCATTAATAAATAATTTGCAGTGCCAAAATATAGATGATACCCACTGCTGAAAAAGATATTTATGTGCCCATTGACAGTGATTATCTTCAGACTGCATACATCTAATATGAACCGATATTGCAGTAATGGTTGAAGTAGAAAAATATCTGTACTATCACATCTCAATTTCTTTATCTAATTGTACTTTTGTCTTTTTTCAGCCAGACTAACTATGTAACTATGTATACACTATTTACAGCAAAAAATAAACCATTCCCTACTCTATCCAAAGCTATTGATACACAAATTTGTTCTCTTGTTCACGAATTTTCAACACACTTGTCATTCCACAGTTAGGTATGTATTGTGTACATAGCCTTTCTACATACTTAAGGCAGTAGTGTTCAGTCCAATGCCAGACAGAGCCATCCCACTAAGAAACCGGAACACACAATAGGAGAGATAGTTTGGAGAAAAGGCAGTGCAGATCCCACTGACAGCCATTTGTAGGTATGACCAAATTAGCAATGCCCTTCGACCATACCTAGGAAAAATTAAGAAGAGTCATGGTGATTTTATGGTCAAGGCATTCACATATTGAGATCTATGATTATTAGCATAAGATAGCTTTAGAAAGTGTCACCCACCTGTCTGACAGGCCTCCAAGGATGATGGCTCCCACAAGCACACCCGCCATGTACAAGGACTGAGCTAGCTGTCTTCTGTGTTTTTTGCTGCACACCAAATCCCACTATAAAAAAGTAAATATAGTTTAACTGAAACTTTACACAATGCATATGCAGTACATAACTGAGTTGTCTGTAGAGACACCTTTCTTTGTTGGAGCTGTGCATGCTACAAGCTCTCTAAACTAAAACAAGCCAGGCCACTTGCATGATACTGCATTCTGAAGTATTGTTATTAATGGCACCCCCCCCACATCTAGCAAATGTGCGTACACTCATGCCCACCAAACGCCTGGTAACGCAGTACGTGGTTTTCAAAATCATGTTGGCACCTTTTTTTCACATTTCTATAACATAGCACTGCCCAGTGAAATGAACAGGCTGCCCTAAAACGTGATACAAGTTAATGTGCAATAGAAGCATGTGCACTTGGACATGACTCCTGGTGTGAATGAGCCCTCAAGATGTAGAGGGAAACCTTGTACAGAACCATATAGTATAATATATATATATACAGTGGGGATCGAAAGTTTGGGCACCCCAGCTAAACATTTGTATTAATGTGCATAAAGAAGCCAAGGAACGATGGAAAAATATCCAAAAGGCATCAAATTACAGATTAGACATTCTTATAATATGTCAACAAAAGTTAGATTTTATTTCCATCATTTACACTTTCAAAATAACAGAAAACAAAAAAATGGCGTCTGCAAAAGTTTGGGCACCCTGCAGAGTTAATATCTTGTACTGTCCCTTTGGCAAGTATCACAGCTTGTAAACGCTTTTTTAGCCAGCCAAGAGTCTTTCAATTCTTGTTTGAGGTATCTTTGCCCATTCTTCCTTACAAAAGTCTTCCAGTTCTTTGAGATTTCTGGGCTGTCTGTCACACACTGCTCTTTTAAGGTCTATCCATAGATTTTCAATTATGTTGAGGTCAGGAGATTGTGAAGGCCATGGCAAAACCTTCAGTTTACGCCTCTTGATGTAATCCCCCGTGGATTTTGAGGTGTGTTTAGGATCATTATCCATTTGTAGAAGCCATCCTCTCTTTAACTTCAGCTTTTTCACAGATGGCATCAAGTTACCATCCAAAATTTGCTGAAATTTTATTGAATCCATTTTTCCTTCTACTCGTGAGATGTTCCCTGTGCCACTGGCTGCAACACAACCCCAAAGCTTGATTGATCCAACCCCCTGCTTAACAGCTGGACAGAGGTTCTTTTCATTAAATTCTGTGCCCCTTCTTCTCCAAACGTACCTTTGCTCATTCCGGCCAAAAAGTTCAGTTTTAACCTCATCGGTCCACAGAACTTGTTTCCAAAATGCATCAGGCTTGTCTATATGTTCATTTGCAAAGTTCAAACGATGATTTTTGTGGTGAGGACATAGAAGAGGTTTTCTTCTGATGACTCTTCCATGAAGACCATATTTGTACAAGTATCTCTTTATAGTGGAATAGTGTACCACAACTCCAGTGTCTGCCAGATCTTTCTGGAGGGATCGTGCAGTCAAACGTGGGTTTTGAATTGTTTTTCTCACAATCCTGTGAGCTGTTCTGTCTGATATTTTTCTTGGTCTTCCAGATCTTGCTTTAACTTCCACTGTTCCTGATGACTGCCATTTCTTAATTACATTCCGAACAGAGGATATTGACATCTGAAACGCTTTGCTATTTTCTTATAGCCTTCTCCAGCTTTGTGAGCGTCAACTATTTTCAGTTTCAGTTTTCTAGACAACTGCTTAGAAGAACCCATGGTGCTGATTGTTGGGGCAAGGTCAGATGAGTCTGGGCATTTTGAGATTGACATCACCTGGTCTTCCCAGATGATGATTGAGAACAATCCATGACACTGGCAGGTCTCAGCTTGGCAAAGGGGGCAGTGCATGCTTTAAATTCTGCAGGGTGCCCAAACTTTTGCAGACGCCATTTTTTGTTTTCTGTTATTTTGAAAGTGTAAATGATGGAAATAAAATCTAACTTTTGTTGACATATTATAAGAATGTCTAATCTGTAATTTGATGCCTTTTGGAGATTTTTATATCTTTCCTTGGCTTCTTTATGCACATTAATACAAATGTTTAGCTGGGGTGCCCAAACTTTCGATCCCCACTGTGTATATATATATATATATATATATATATATATATATACAGTATCTCACAGAAGTGAGTACATCTCACACATTTTTGTAAATATTTTATTCTATCTTTTCATGTGACAACACTGAAGAAATGACACTTTGCTACAATGTAAAGTAGTGAGTGTACAGCTTGTATAACAGTGTAAATATTCTGTCCCCTTAAATAACTCAACACACAGCCATTAAAGTCTAAACTGCTGGCAACAAAAGTGAGTACACCCCTAAGTGAAAATGTCCACATTGGGCCCAAAGTGTCAATATTTTGTGTGGCCACCATTGTTTTCCAGCACTGCCTCAGCTTCTTTAGCAAGGCAGTGGTCATCTTGGAGGTGTGTTTGGGGTCGTTATCATGTTGGAATACTGCCCTGCGGCCCAGTCCTGAAGGGAGGTTATCATGCTCTGCTTCAGTATGTCACAGTACATGTTGGCATTCATGGTTCCCTCAATGAACTGTAACTCCCCAGTGTCGGCAGCACTCATGCAGCCTCAGACCATGACACTCCCACCACCATGCTTGACTGTAGGCAAGACACACTTGTCTTTGTACTCCTCGCCTGGTTGCTGCCACACATGCTTGACACCATCTGAACCAAATCAGTTTATCTTGGTCTCATCAGACCACAGTACATGGTTCCAGTAATCCATGTCCTTAGTCTGCTTGTCTTCAGCAAACTGTTTGTGGGCTTTCTTGTGCATCATCTTTAGAAGAGGCTTCCTTTTGGGACAACAGCCATGCAGATCAATATGATGCAGTGTGCGCCGTATGGTCTGAGCACTGACAGGCTGACCCCCCACCCCTTCAACCTCTGTAGCAATGCTGGCAGCACGCATACATCTATTTCCCAAAGACAACCTCTGGATATAACACTGAGCATGTGCACTCAACATCTTTGGTCGACCATGGCGAGGCCTGTTCTGGGTGGAACCTGTCCTGTTAAACCGCTGTATGGTCTTGGCCACCATGCTGCAGCTCAGTTTCAGGGTCTTGGCAATCTTCTTATAGCCTAGGCCATCTTAATGTAGAGCAACAGTTCTTTTTTTCAGATCCTCAGAGAGTTCTTTGCCATGAGGTGCCATGTTGAACTTCCAGTGGCCAGTATGAGAGAGTGAGAGCGATAACACCAAATTTAACACACCTGCTCCCCATTCACACCTGAGACCTTGTAACACTAATGAGTCACATGACCCCTGGGAGAAAAAATGGCTAATTGGGCCCAATTTGGACATTGTCACTTAGGGGTGTACTCACTTTTGTTCCCAGCAGTTTTGACATTAATGGCAGTGTGTTGAGTTATTTTGAAGGGACAGCAAATTTACACTGCTATACAAGCTGTACACTCACTACTTTACATTCTAGCAAAGTGTAATTTCTTCAGTGTTGTCACACAAAAAGATAGAATAAAATATTTACAAAAATGTGAGGGGTGTACTCACTTTCTGTGAGATACTGTATATATATATATATATATATATATATATATATATATACAGAGACTTATTATGTGCATTAGTTTAGAGCAGTCCATGCACAACTAAAGATGACTTGACATTAGATATATTTTTTCATGCTATGTGGATACTAAGTAATGTGTAAGTATGGTACATTCTGATATTTACCTCTGCTGATCTTTTCAAGCCTTGCTGTTCACATGCACTCACTCCAGCAGTGGCTGTACATCATGGCTCTGGACTGGCTTCCTTATAGAGACATTAGTGGACCATGCCAATGCATGATGTGTGAGGACCACCACTTGTAGCTTTAACCAGTAGCACATTGACAGTGTGGCAATGCAGTTGGGAGAGAGTTGTCATCCCATAACACGTAATAGCTGAGCAAGAGCCCTCATGTTAGTGTCAGTAGCTTTTGTTATAATAGAAACTTCTGAATTAAAAACATTGAAACATTTTTTGAAATGCCATCATTTTAGATATTGGATTTAGATCCACCTAAATGATTAAAGGTAGAGATTTTATAAAACATTATACTGCTGCTCTATATTGTGACATTAATTATTTATACAGAAGACACATGGCCACTCAGTGAAGTTGGAAGGGAAGTGGTTTACCCTTAAACTATGCAAGGATTTTTTTTTTTACTGTTGGAGAGGTCAGGATGTGGAACTCTCTTTCACAATTGGTGGTGTCAGTGGGGAGTGTCAATAATTTAAAAAAACTTTTAGATGGGAATCTTAGCTAATACAATATACAGGGATAAGGGAATGGGTAAAGACATAAATACATATACACTCATACACCCACACATGTTGAACTGGATGGACTGGTATCTTTATTAAACCTTACCAACCATGTAACTATGTAAGGTTTGCACAGTTAATAAAATGCCCAGTTCCCGTAATAAAATAAAAACAGTCTAGTATTGCCAACCTCTCTTTTTGAAAATGAATGTCATGCTAACTGCCTTTACCTGCAGTAAATATACAGACAAGGATTTTTTTCATGTGTCCTTTCTTTCCTGATCTGTAAACTTGTTGTAGGTCAGTCAGTGGGAAATTTTGAAGCCAAATCTTTAGAATAGGGTTAGACAGACAGCTCCTATGTCTCTCCTGACATGTCATTATAGGCTATAATAAACGTTGGAACTGTGTATAGTGGATCTCTCTGTTCTATGTAAGATGCTGTAGCCACACTATTTACGCGACCTTGCGGAATATTAACAATCTGATAACGCTGCTGCAAAAGTTTGGACACTTTTACAGAATAAGGTTGTGTTTGTTTTCTGTAAGGGTTTAGTCTCATTCTGCTGCATATACTGCATAGAGGATAACAATCTGTAAGACTTCACTGGGCACAGAAAACACTAAGCACAGAAAGGGATCTGCAATGCCAGCTGAAGACTGCAGTCATTTTTTTGGACAAATGAGGATGGACTTTGCAGCAGTGGAATACATAATACACTCTGACGA